GCACGTGTGAACGTGTGTGGTCACTACAGCGGTAGACAGCGTGTCACCATCAATAACAGAGCAACGAGGGTGAGATGAGAGGACAGCGAAAAAGGAGTCAAGGAGGCCTGGCAGAGAGAAATGGAGAGGGAAAGGGAAGGAGAGGGGTGCCAGCGCCAGGGCGGCCTGTTGGCTTTAAATGGATCTCTGGTCAGAAAAGTGGAAGGAGAGGAGGCTCAAATTAAAGATGTGCCTTTGCTAAAGAGGAAGTCCTCTTATCCCTCAATCCTTAAACAGCTGTTTAAAGGGGAGGAAGAGAGGGCGGCAAAGAGAGAAGAGTGTTTGTGTACTAGAGAGGGTGAAGGAGCTTCCGCCATCCAGCCGCCTGGCAGACAGGAGGGGTGCGGGGATGCCGGCATATTCCGGACTCCTCTGACCACACGGTGCCACGTGCTGCCTGTGCGAGTGCGCGAGCACATGGCGGATACACAATGAAGTTACTGTATATAGGCTCACGCATGCAGTTGACACAAAAGCACCCGCTGACGTCTGTGCACAAAGACGAAACTCTTAATTGCTTATGCAAATATTCTTTTCATGTAAGCAAGAGCATTTAAGAATTGTATGGGCTGTGATGTGGGTGGAGCAGCACATGGAAAAGACTGACAAACAGACCAGAATGCACGCTTGCATGTGGATGCCGCTGGTCTCTAGCATAAAAAGCCAGAGAGTCAGTGTGAGTGTGTGTTTGTGTGTGTGTGTGTGTGTGTGTGTGTGTGTGTGAGAGAGAGCCAAGTGCATGTGAGTGCCTCCACATCTGCGTCTGTGAGCTCATCCAAACGGAATGATAACGAATCCACAGACACATCAAAGGGGCTCGGAGAAAAAAAGCGAGAGCACATAAAAAGAGAGAAAATGCAAAACTGAAATATTCAGCGCCCTCTGAAGAAAAAATAAAACAGGCTTGGTTTTCATCTGCATCCCCAGAGAAAGAGAAAGGGAGAGAGAGTGGGAAAAAAAAGAAGAAGACAGAAACAGACACAGAATAAGAGACAGACCACAAATAAGTGAACACAAAAGAGAGATAGCACAAGGGCAAGAAAATATTAAAGGCAGAAAGGGTAGAAAAGAGGGAATAGAAAACAGAGCATCGTCGAGCTGGATGGCTTTAAAGCCAACCTACAGTTCTGGCCGTGTTTATGAGCAGCATTTCACTTTAATAAATTAAACAAAAAAACAGCCACAAACGTAAAGAGCACAGCCCTCCGCCTACAGTGGCATCTACACATGTAGTCGTCCGCGTGCCTGCAGGGAACAGCTGCCTCGGTAGCATCTTTAAAGACACGACTGTTGACCTTTATTTTTTTAATTTAAGCCCCAACCTTCTAGCAGTTTGCCAAACCCCAAAGATTTTGCGGCAAAACGATGAATCAAAGATGCAACAACTAAGTTGAATAATCAAAAGAACAACAAGCGGTTGCTCAAAGGCAACCACTTTCCAGTTTTTCTCAGTCAAGCTGAATATGAATTTGTGGAGCAAAAGTAAGACACATCAATTGGCCAGTGGAGATGCTACATTTTGAATATATTTCAGTATTTTCTGATATATCTTAGACCAGATCAGTCACAGAAATACGCGACAATGCAACAACTAAGTAGCTGATTTCCACATCTCGGAGAAGTTGCAAAGGGAATCGCTTTGGAGTGCTTTGCTCGAGAACTAGAAGGATATTACATCTGACATGATGACATTTCAAACTTTGCTGTGAAGTTTATGCTCTCGCATAATCCCCGGAGAAGAAGAAGAAGAAGAAAAACGACTTTACCTCACAC